CCCCCCCCCCCCCCCCCCCCCCTCCCCCCAAAAAAGAACAAAAAAAAAAAACACATGATTGCCCCCATCCCTATAAAAAACAAAAAAACGCACCTCGTTGAAGAACGGCTGTGGCACGAAGATGAGCGACTGAATCGACACCAGCACCTGTAGCAACGTGGACGTCTGGGCGTTCCAGCTCTCCCCCCGGTCCCCGTCCCACGTTCCTAGAAGAGACAGGCACACCTTGCCATCTGATTGATTTCGCAGGGATAGCAAAAAGGGAGAGGCGGGAGGGGGGTTGTGGACAATGGGTGGAAAAGGTGATCTGTGAGCCGTTCTCTGTATGTAGACGTGAGAAACTCACAAAAAAAAGGAAATCAGGAACTCGGCTCAAAGAGAAAACAAAGTACACGTAGTTGTAAAAAAAAACGCCACGTCTTGTCTTTCGAGGTTGTAACAAAATAGTCATGACAAACATTCGTCCTTCGTGAGCATTGAGGTCTCCCCGGGGTGGGGGTGACGCGTTTATCTCTCTCTCTCTCTCTCTCTCTCTCTCTCTCTCTCTCTCTCTCTCTCTCTCTCCCCCTCTCACCGGCGTAGAGGTTGGGGTTGAAGCGGTGGGTGCCGCCGCCCGTGGTCATGAGCTTGACCTTGGGTGGGGTCTGAGGATAGTTGTCCGGGAAGAAGATGTCGAAGGCGAACAGCCCCCCGGAGTAGGGGGTATCATCCGGACCGGATATCATAACCTGTACCAGTAGAGTTCAAAGCAGGGAAAAAAGAAATAGAAGGGGTGTGTGTGTGTGTCTTTCTTACTAGCATCGACAGCGCTAACCGGCTGACCAATGAAAAGACGTCAGTCTCAGCGCGGTGGAAAACGCAAAATGGTTCTTATAGGCCACGATCTGTGCCCCTGTTGTGTTGTGTGTGGTGCCGTCCGCGCCCGCAGATCATATCCTGTTTCGGCGGTGTATTTCGAACGAGAGATGAAACAGGAAAAGAAAGAACAAGAAAAAACAGGGAAAGAAAGAACACAAGCGAAAACAGGGAAAGAATAACAAGAGGAGGCAGGGCTAACCTGTTGGGCGGTGTGTCTCGAACGAAAGAAAAAAAGGATGACAACAAGAGGAGGTGGGCGGGGGACAGGGAGTCGGACGATGTACAGCGTGTGATCTCAAAAAAAAAAAAACGCCGTATTCTCGTAATTGTACATAAAATAGGTGTTGTTTGCAAAAGATGCATTTGTCTGTCCGGTTTCTGAAACAAAAAACGCTTTAGTGTAGGCTTAAACACACTCAAAACAAGCCCAGCTTCCAGCCGGTTTAACTCCACACTCACTGAAAGACTTGAGAGCACATCACCACATCCCTTTTGACAGGGGTTATATCCTGAACGGGTATGCGTTCTAAAAAAACGCTCCACCCGGGGGAAGGTCTATCCGGTGGGCACAAAACAGGAGCAAGCCTTCGTTACACCATGACGTTATTTATCAGAAGACCACGCTGCAATAGCTGGCTACACCATAGACAGCAGAAGTAGGCAATAGCAATAGCAACGGGACTACACCTACCTGCATCCAGTCCATCTGGTCCTCGTGTGTCCTCACGAACACGGCCGAAGACAGCGAGAGCGGCAGGCTTTGGCTCAGATCCGCATGCTCCTGGCCCAAGCGCTTCACTCTCTGCAGAGGGGGGGGGGGGGGGGGGGGGGAGGATAT